CGAATGCCTATCGCCTGCCTCAGCTGTGTGCAGTAGACGAATACGAAGTCTATTGGAAAATTCGGTGGGATACGATGAATAACTTTGAGAGCTCTCGTTTTCTCCACTACATGACCACTATCAACTAACTAAGCGTGAAAAAATGGAGCTACGGATTGTTTTTGTCTGTCCTTTGCCAAACCACTATGGGAGATGTTCACTAACACGTTGACTGTCTAAGCTGTCTAGTAGTACACCCAACATAACTGTCCCCGCAGGAGCAGAGTTGAATTGATAAATGTACATAGATGTGGCAAAAATATCTAGCTTATCCTTCGTTTGCGTCCCAATCATTCTTAGGCTAGAGAATGAAACTTTCTTCCTGTACTCCTGGAAAGTTTCTGGAATAAAATCTCACTTGACAAGTCACCATTAAATTGTAACTTAATAAATAGAGGCTTTTTACGTGCAGTCATAGTCTCAGGTTTTCTCTCTAATATTTTGATATGTTTCTTTATGAAACTACTCGGATAGCCCATCTCCATCAAGGAATCGTGAATATATTCCAATTCCAATTTGTAAGAGGTCATCCGTACATATCTTTCTTGCTCTGCCTGTAAGACATTTAACACGTAACTAAGGAGCTGTGTATGTATTGCCCTGTGAATGTGCTTTTTCTATACACGCTTATCCCAAGTGACCCATCTTCTCCCCAACTTAGCAAGACATTCAGGAAATGCAGTTTATTGTCCTGCTCCTCTTCACAAGTAAAGGTAAGCGAAGGGTGGATGTTGTTGAATTTCATCAACAATTCGTCTATGTTAACATTCCCATCAACTAAGATTAATCTATCGTCGACACGACGGTAATACATATCAAACTCCTTGATGATGTCTTTCAATTTCCCGTTTTCAAGTTTAGCGAGAAAGAAATCAGCTAATATTGGGCCTAATGGTGAATCCATAACTGTTCCATCTACTTGTCGGTAATATGAATTATTGAAGACAAAGTACACATTCATTGTGCATATAAGGAGTAATTTTTTGAGGCTACACACAGAGAATTCCTAAGTCCAATTGCCTTTCCACGTTTATCCATCACATTAGTCTCGGATATTTTAGAAATGAAGTTAAAGACATCACTAATTCTATGCCACACAGAATCTTCACTAACCACTTTCCTGTTCCGTGAAATGGAGAGTTATACATATTCAAGACAGGGCGAAGAGGAAGACCCAGTTTGTGCACTTTGGGTAGACCGTAAAGACATGGAGTGTTGGTGTACTTGCGGGGTTTCATAGACTCATACACGCCTGGTGATAAATCAAGTCAATCAACTAATAAAAAATAAATCACGTGACAAGAATATTCATACTCCAAGTCAATAGAGATGTAAAATAACAACGAAGCTCGACAATGGTTGTCAAACGAGATATGATTATATCATTATTCGTGGCGAAAGAATTCAGATAAGCTCCCTTTATACTAAAGCTTGCACTGAAGCAATGTTGTCTAGAAGCAGGACAACGAAAGCCTGTCAGCTTACAGAACAACCCAACTAAATTAGAATCAATACACATTTAAAAGGTAGAAATTGTTAGAATAAATTAATTTCGGAAGGATAACATGTAATTAAAGATGAAGTGGTCAGGAAAAATAAAATAATTTGGACAATTATAATTTTTATAATTTTAAAGGTGTAAGGGGAGGGGGGCCAAGGCAAGGAAAGTGGCTGCACAAATCTCTTCTGAACAGGAACAGGTTTGGCTTCTCCAGGTGGATTCCGATTGCTTCACTGCCTGTAGAAGACGAACTCGTAGAGCAAAGTTAAGATTAGTCGGAATGCGACAAATAATTTTAAATGCAGTAATAATATCAACCTTATGCTCAGTATCAACAAGGTGTGCTAAAATAGAATTACGAATAGATCTAGTTTGTCCCTTGCTTAACCATTTTGGAAGATGTTCGGAAATACGATGATGAACCTGTCTAATTGTACGCCCAATGTAGCTGGCTCTGCAGCTCCAGTCAAACTGGTAGATACACATAGATGAGGAGGCAAATTTAGGTAGTTTGTCCTTATTTCTCGAACATAGAATAGGGGTGGTTGTGAAGAGACAACGTACCTCTGCTGGTCAATCTTTCTGTTTTCTAAATGTCTAAATGGGGATTTTTTTTCTATAATTAAATTAGAATCAGCCACCTAAGCTAAAAATCTTCTCAATTATAACAGTCAAAGCCGCTTACCTTAACGAGAATCTCACCACCAACCTACAATTTTCTTCGAATTAACTTCATTAAATTTTGAACATCCTCATAAAATAACATCAAACATCCGTTTCATGTGAAACAGAGAATCCACTGGTCATTCATGAGTCGGATCCCAGTGGAATTGGAAGGTCCTGAGTTCAAACCCCGAGGCAGTGGACGGTTACTACCGAACAGACTAGAACAAAACAGCTGTCCATCACTCTATGCTGGGACATCCTATTAAATAAACTTACTGCAAGTCAAACAGAATGTTGGGCTGTTAACTGGTTACATTCCTATTTCTCAAAAAGAAGGGAAGTCTTCCGCTTCATTGCCTACTGAAGCTGGTGTCCCTTAAGGCGCTGTCCTTTCTGCTTTTCTTTTTTCTTTCTTCTTACATGACTTGCCCCACTCTGATGAAATAAATTTTGTGAAGTATGCTGATGATTTAACTGTTTCAATGGCTGTTAACTCCCAGCTAGATTGTACCAAAATAAATAGCTTTCTGTCGGGAGTCAGTAAATGGCCTGAGTCCAACGGTTTTAAACTGAATCCTTCTAAATGTCAAACTGTTAATTTCAGCTTGAGATGTAAAAGACAGTTAAAAGAAGCCATCGATTCTCATGACAGTTGTAAGATTGACGACAATTACATAGGAATTAAATCAGAAATTAAGTATTTTGAACTTATTCTCTCTTCTGATCTCTCCTGGTCTTCCCATGTCTTAGCGATCTCCAGTAAAATATTTCGCCTGACATTTTACATTAAGAAGTTAAGGCACTCAGGTATAACTCAACCCCTCTCCCTCTTACAGTTCATAAACTCTTGCATCCTACCTATTCTTCTTTATTGTTCACCCTTATTCTTTCCTGGTTTGCTTAAAAAGGACTATGTCACAATTCGTAGAATGCTGAAGACTGTCAGTAGGATGAGGGGTGTCCCAGTGGACCACATAGTTAACGTCGTTGTCGATAGGCACTTGACTTCGTGCAGTAAATTTGCTAAAGGGATTTTGTCTGACTTGGAGCATCCACTTTACCCTCAGCTTTCACTTTGCATCTCCTCAGGTAGAAAAAGAAGTAACTTCAGAAAACTGTATGCTCGCACGTCTAAGTATAAAAATTCTATGATACTATACTTGGCACGTATTTTATGTGATGAAAATAGTGTCAGACAAGAATATTAACTAACCTTTCTTCATCTAGTAAATAAACAATCTCCTCCATCCATCTTTATATACCTTCAAGTTTTACTTTTATTATTTCTATAATATTTATGGTCCTGTTGATTCTTTGTTTTACTTTCATAATTGCAAACACCAACTTATCCCTATGACTGCTGTAATCTTTGTTTTTCCCCTCACCATATCATGTAAAGAGAACATTATATTCAATATTTTTAAACATGCAAGGATTTGTATACCGCATCGACAATACTGTGTGAAACAAGCCCACAGCAATTTCCACTTGTATTATTATCATTACCTTGGCTGCTATCATTATTATTATTTCCATTTTATATGCTGCATGTTTTCTTTTATATTACCCGTATTGTAAATGTTGAAAATTTTCTGTGTGATTAATTTTATTTATAATTTGAGGACCCAAATATTCATCAATCTTATTCAACAGCTGTACGACAACGGCACATGTCAAGTGATTCACAACGGAAAACTCAGCGAGCCATTTGGAGTAAAGACAGGAGTCAGTCAAGGGTGCTTATTATCATCAATGATATTCCTAATTGTGTTGGACTGGATTATACGTCAGACAGTGGGAAGCGATAAGACAGGGATATCCTGGACTGACGTGAAGAACCTAGAAGATCTGGATCTCGCGGATGATTTATGTTTGATGTCACACAAAATCGAAGACTTACAAGCGAAAACCGACAAACTGGTCGAAGAAGCAGCCAGAGAAGACAGGACTCCAGGTGAACATAGACAAGACGGAGGTTATGAAAATAACCAACCACCAACAACAACAACAGCAGCAACATCCAGAGCCAATCACCATCAACGGGAGGGATTTGAAAGAGGTTACTTCATTCACTTATCTGGGGAGCATTGTTTCAACCACAGGAGGAACGGACGAGGATGTCAAATCGAGAATCGGGAAGGCGAGAAACACATTCATCAACCTGAAAACAATCTGGAAATCTTCGTCACTCACCATCAACAACAAAATTCGGATTTTCAATACAAACGTGAAGTCAATTTTGCTTTACGGATCAGAAACTTGGCGAGTCACCAAGAATATTTTCAACAGGTTGCAGACCTTTATCAACAACTGTCTTCGCTCCATACTGAAGATAAGATGGCCAGAAAGAATCACAAACAAGAAGCTATGGGAACAAACGAAACAGGAACCAATCGCCCAACAAATATGCAGGAGAAAGTGGAGATGGATTGGACACTCGCTGAGGAGACCGCTGGGTGACATCGCGCGTCAGGCCATCGCTCGAGGGGAACCCGAAAGGGAAGCGGCGAGTGGGACGTCCAAGGGTGACATGGAGGAGATCATGTGAAGAGAAGTTGAAACAGTATGGACTAACATGGATGCAGGAGAAAAGTACAGCAGAAGACAGAAGGAAGTGGAGACGTGCAGTTGAAGCCCTATGTTCCACTAGGAACCCAAGGGAACAATAATAATAAATCATTATTATTTTCAATGGCTCTCTCTAACACTGACATCAATCCGTGATCAACAACTGAGACGAATATGCAGAAATTTTGTAGTATATTCAAAAATTTTAAAAATTACAGAAAAGCAACTAACAACACAAAAGCATTGGGTGTCTCTTTCTTCTTCGGAAGAGAAACAGCATCGTGTACAGACAGAATTGTCTCTAATCAACAAGAATGTGTTTTTGTACAACGGCAAGTAGAACAAGAGTATATTATTACTATTATTAATAACAAATGATACGTAAAATATTGATTTTAATAAACTGGGGTGGGGATGGTGGTGAGGTCAGGGGTAAGAATATGTACAAATGAAAGAACAATGGTAAATTATAATTAATATACTACAATAGTAATATTAATAACGGTAGAAACTTAAAGACGACGAAGTGAAGCCTTCATTAATCGCCAACGTGTTCGTGGACTTCTTACAGGCGATGAACGAGGATGAATTGGAGAGAGTCTAAACAAATGAAGACAAAAACAAAAATAAATACATAATAATAAATTAGTTACAGGATTTCATCATGAGAGAACCATTGAAAAACCAGCTGGGAGTACCGGACAGCTGTTTCGTCCTAGTTTGGGACTCTTCATCAGTAAGCACCCATCGCCAGCTTTCGAAACCAGGACCTTCTGATTACAAGGCTAGCGAGCTCGTAGACCATTAATCCACTGGATCCCGATCAAATGACCTATGAATTCTAACTTTTGCTAGTTCACGATATAGCGCGGCCGCTAGCCAATGTCTTCCGTGGCGAGTACTTGTCCTCACACCCGACCTGCTGCACCCTACTGGTCACGACTTCTCACTAGAACCCAGGTAACTACCTACCTGAATAGAGCAAGTCGCTAGTGAGCATCCCATCGATATTCAAGGGTTGGTTTGTAGGGATTTGATTGGTTACAGGATTTCATTGTGAGCTGACATTGGTTAGAGAAGCATTGGAATAATAAATTCATTGGAGATTGAATCGGGTCCCAGTGGCCAAATGAATGGTCTACAAGCTCGCCTTGTAACCCAAAGGTCCTGGGGTTGGAAACCCAGTGCGGTGCTGTGAATTCATCAGCAATTAACCCGCTGGCGTTGGCTAATGCAACTCGCCAAATAAGTGAAGTGGTCAACATGCTCTACCACTTCACTACTACCTACCTTTAAGTTAGGAGTCAATTTGTAATCCTATCCTGTAGCATCATCTTATACTAGACTGGAGCGAATCGCATTGCAAACATTTGAAGACTGCTGCTCCCCTCAAGGTGTTCACAGAAGACTCTGTCTTCTGTCAGAGTCTTCATTCCCTTGAAGGACTATATCATCTGCATATTCTAAGTCAACAAGATTATTCTCTTATGGTAACAAATCTAAGACGGCAATAATCAATCTTAAATGAGAAACCAATACATTCGGGGAACATACCTTCTTATTGGTGAACTGGCTTTTACTGAACACTTTTCACTAGGGGAATGCTCCCTTCGACAATCAAAGCAGACAGAGACACCACAATCTACAGCTTGACAGTGCAGACGGTTTGGCCATTCACTGGGTCGATAGAATGCTACTCCAGAGCATACAGGACATGCATGCAAAAATTCCTATGGAAAAAAAAAATGGAAAAACACAGAAATTATATTGGTCAAAATAGCTACTGAAAAAGGTTGCACAAAGATTTTTATTGATTCATGAAAAATTCCCATCTAAACATCAATAAAAAATAAAACCAGTAAAGTTCAGCGAAGAGGTTCTTTTCAGCGAATTCATTATCGTCATCAAGCTGTACACTCGCATTTATGTACAATCTCCTTTTTCATTAAGGAGGGTAGTTATAATCATTGAACAAAGCTTGGAATGGCAGTCACCTCTCTATCTCAAATTCACCGACTTTGAAAAGGCCTTCGACAGCGTCGATCGAGAGGTGCTTTGGAAACTACTTCGCTACTACATAGTGCCACCGACAATTATACATCTCATCCAACAGCTGTACGACAATGCTGCATGCCAAGTAATCCACACAGAGGGAAACTTACGGAATCCTTCAAAGTGAGGACAGTAGTAAGACAAGGCTGCCTACTATCTCCAATGATTTCCCTGATTGCAGTAGATTGGATAATGCGACAAACAGTGGGCAATGAGGAAACAGCCATAAAATGGACTCACACAAAAAACTTGGAGGATCTGGACTTCGCCGATGCGATATATGTCTGATTTCCCACAAACTGGAAGATATGCAAGCGAAAAGCAACAAGTTGGCAGAAGAAGCAGAGGTGATGAAAATTCCTGGGCAACACCACCAACAGCAACATCAACAACAGACAACAATCAGCATAAATGGGAGGAAACTGAAAGAAACAACCTCTTTTACCTACCTGAGAAGCATGGTTTCAACTACAGGCGGATGGAACTGACAAGGATATCAAAGCAAGAATCGGAAAGGCAAGACAAGCTTTCATTACTCTCAAGTCTGTGTGGAGGTCAACAGCACTCAGCATCAAAAATAAGATCCGGATTTTCAACTCCAATGTGAAGTCAGTGCTACTATGGCGCGTCATCAAGAGCATCTCAAACAAACTACAGACCTTCATTAACAGTTGTCTTCACTCAATACTCAAGATCAGATGGCCGGTCAGAAAAGATCAACACCGGAGATCTCTGGGAGCGAACCAACCCAGCAGGAACCGATCGTGAAACAAATAGGCAGGAAGAAATGGAGATGGATTGGCCATACTCTGAGGAAACCATCAAGTGAGTGACATTACTAGACAAGCCATTGCTCGAGTGGAACCTGGCCGATAGGGAAGCGGCGAGTTGGTCGTCAGTGCAAGGGTGACTTGGAGGAGGTCATGTGAAGATGAGATGAAAACGTGTGGGCAGACTTGGAGCCAGGTGAAAACGTCGGCAGATAACCGAACGCAATGGAGACGCACGGCTGAAGCCCTATGTTCCCCTAGGAATGAAAGGAAACAATAATAATAATAATAAAAGCGATGAGTTGTCACAAACCTGGTTGTATACATTAGTCACTAAATGCATAAAAGGAGTTGAATAAGTGCATTAGTGTTACGTAATAAGATGAATGGTCCTATGAATGAGTTGTAATCAGGATGTGCACATAGCAACGAAGGAAAATATGGAATTATGTAAGAGTTCCAAAGAAGTAAACTAGCTATAAGAAGTTAGATCATAATCAATTGTTACAGAAATATTGAACAACTGTCATCCATAATCTCCTCTTTATATGTTAGACTTAGAACAACAGCCGAAGGAACTATAAGGAGGTCCATCCAGAGGAAATCAACATGCAACGACTGACTGACAAGTTTCTACAGCTGGGTGGGGATTAGAGAGGTTTCACGTGCACTTCGGATTGTGAGGACGATTGTTACTTCCCGGCTGCCCACACAGTGGAAGTTGATTGCGTTTCCGCAGAGCCCAGGGGACAACTGCTTGAGGCCGGTCACACACGGCCTGTTTTTGTTTGTTGTTTTTCATTTGGTGTGTCTCAGTAGCATATTTATCACTTCCACCCTGTGACACGGCAGCAGGAAGCGCGGTCGTTGTTAATCCGGGTCCCAACCGATCCGGTATGATATTTTGTGATTTATTTGGAGTCATAGGATTGAATTGGGTAGCTGCTTTTAGTCTAACCGCTATCCAAACAACCTTTCTGGCATGGTAGGACCTACAGGAACATAAGTTCCAGCCAGTATAGCTTGTTGGGTCATTGCGATGTTCAAGCCCGACCACCACGTCAAGGTAGCAGCTTTCGACCGGGACAGCTGGGTATCAATTAGTCGTAAACGAAACCTAATTATGTGGATGTATATACATATCTTGCTACTCGCATCCGACGCATATGAAGCTTTGATGTTCTGGAAGAGGAATTACGCATTTTGAAAGAAATCTTCATTCAACACAGGATGTCCACTAAGATTCATTGACAAGAACATCAAATCGAAAATTCAAAGACAAGAGACGTCATCCGTGTCAAAAAAAGAAACTTTACATAAACCTTGACTTCAAGTGTGATCTAATTAGTGATGTCTTTAAAAGCAGAATATCAGCATTTCTGAGAAAAACGCGGAAACGCCAAGAGTGGCGTTCTATAGCCGTCCAGTAGTCTACAATAGTCTTAAGGACAAGATCTCGCCTTCTGACTACCTCTGTGTGCATATATCAGTTCACCTGTTGTTTTGGAACCAGGTACATTGGTCGTTCAACGCGTGTCCTGTCCAAAAGGGTCGAAGAACACTATCCCACCGCATGGTTGCAGAAAGGTGGTAGTGGTTGCATAATGACTGCGATAATCGAACATCTTGTCAACAAAACTGGTCATTCCATCTCAACAAACGCCAGCTACAAAGTAAAGAATACGCATTCGTTTTCCTTGCATTTTTGAAGCTCTAGCCATTCACACAGAAAAACCGGAGTGATACATTCAAAAGAAGATTATTCAACCACTCCCACTAGTATGATAACTAACTTATTGATTTCTACTGTCTTGACTTTTAATAATAATAAAAATAATCTGCTTTATTCCAAAACAGTACTTGCGATACAGAATGGAATTCTCAGCATTTTTACTACAGTATTGCATCTAGTTAGTACATTATCAATCAATAAAATTCTACATAGATTAAGGAGATCTCAGTTCATTATGACAACAACATATTGGCATGTCGGTAGCAAAGCCAAAGTTGAACACAGTGTTTGAAGGTGTTAGAAAAGTAGGTGCTATCATATTTACTGGCGTAAGCGGAAGAAAGAAACAAATCAGCACATAACAAGAAAAGAGAGAGAGAGAAAAGGAAAAGAAAGAAAGAAAATGTTGTATCTATAAATGATATGAGTTGGAAAGACGAGATCCAGTTGTTCTACTGACTATTTAATGAATTACAGGTGTCACACCTAATGCTTTCTTTATCTCACAGAACACGAGCTAAGTAGGGTATGGTTGAGTTTTTGTACTTGCTGGTGCGAGCATATAGTTTTCTATATAGGCTTCTGGTCCTGCCTGATGAGATGCAAGGGGAGAGTTGTGAGTGAAGAGGTTGGTGTGAGTTAGATAAAATGGATTTGGCCTATTTTTCACATGAGTCCATGTACCTGTCAACCAGAATATTAACAAGCTGGTTAAGTGGCACGTTGCTTACCCTGCTGACAACCTTTAACATCCTGCGTAATATGTTATAGTCTTTCTTCAATAGCCCGGGAAAAACTTAGGGGGAACAATAGAAAATAATAGGCAGAATGCGAGAGTTAACGAATTGTAGGAGTAAGGGTTGGGGGGTTATTCCAGAATGCCTTAACTTCTTGATGTAGAAGGTAAGACGGAATATTTTCTTAGAAATCGTCAAGATATGAGATGACCAGGAAACATCAGCAGATAGAATGACGCCTAGGTATTTAGTTTTCGACTTGGTTTCTATTTCAGTGCCATCTATGTTGCACATCTCGTGAGAGCTAACCAGTTTGTTTTCTTATAACTCTTGTACTTCTCTGGAACTCTTACGTAATTCCATATTTTCGTTTGTTTCTATGTGCACATCGTGATTACTACTCATTCATTGAACCATTCATCTTATTACGTAACTCTAATGCACTTATTTAACTCCTTTTATGCATTCAGTGACTAATATATACAACTACGTTTGTGATAACTCATCACTTTTATTACTACCCTCCTTCATGAAAAGGAGATTGTATATAAATGCGACTGTATAGTTTGATGGTCAAAAACTGAATTCGTCGAAAAGAGCCTCTTCGTTAAACTGCTTGTCTTGTTTCTATCAAAGAGCTTTACACAAACCCAGGGATTTTAATGTGTGTTTGAGTTCTCGGAGATGAATGATTTAATTGAGAACCTTTCATTGTCCTTCTGGACAATATCTTCAGCGGAAGATTCAATATGAAGTAAACTCATTTGAATTCGCCATGAATGATATAACTGATCTGCATTCAAGAATATAAACTACTTATTGAAAGACACGTACTCTTTCACATAGATGCATGCAGACAACTATGGACATCAATTTGACTGGGAAATTGTGGACATTCTAGGCAGCAGAAACACCATAAGTGCTACAGAATTTACGCCGTCTCTGGAGTAGACGTGACATCCGGCTGCCTATCGACCAAAGGGCGGGTGTACTGCTCATCAGTCCGCTCCGTCCTCCTTTATGGCTGTAAGACCTGGCCATTGAGAGTGGAAGGCATGAAAAGATTAGCTGTCTTTGGTCATAGGTGCCTGCGTTCCATATCCGGTGTGTAGTGGTATACTAAGGTGAGCAATATTGAGGTTAGGCATCAGTCGAGTGATAGGTGTGTTGGAGAGGAAATCAATCGACGAGGCTGTGAAATTACATCGACTGAGATGGTTAGGACATGTGTTACGTATGCCTGGTCACCGCTTTCGTCGACAGGCAATGTTAGCTGATATAGAGTCAAGCTGGAAAAAAGCTAGCAGCGGTCGAACCAAAACATGGCACCAGTCAATGAAATCCACAACAGTTAACTTAAGTCAGCCAGCCACGTAGGGAGATTTGGACTTATAGACTGACTGGGGTCCTCGGGGCGGTAAAAACCAATGAATGCGGGAGACAATTGGTGATATGGCTCAAAATCGTTCTCGATGACAGGCGCAGATGCATCCACTCCTTGTGACTTATGATTTCCAGTGAAACTATATTGTTCTTCGTTATTACTACTCCTTTGTCTCACACCTCTCTTTACTGTCTCTATTATGCATTTCTTCTAATTTCTTCTCTTGCTTTGTGTGCTACATTGAGTGTGGCGACTCGAACTGCCGGACATCGGTGCAAAGTTCTATGTCAAAAACAGACAGAATTCACAGAAGCCTGGTACTCAGATAAGCCAACGATTAACAGATCCGTTATTATCGACCAAAGTTATTGACTAATAAAGAATAAGCCACACGACGAGAAAAGCCAAATTTGAAGTCAATAAAAGCGATCAATAAAGATGTAAATTAACAACCAATCATTAGTGGAGAATTTAGACGAGTTCACTTCAAATTAAAGCTTGCACTGAGGACGTCGCGAAGGAGAATGGGGACTTAGCAATTAAATCACCTGGCTCAGAAAACTTAACCACATGTTGAGTTTTTTTTAATTCCTTCACGTTTCCAGCGGAACATAGGGCTTCAAACTAGAGGCTTGAAGTTTCTGTAGCAGTGTTTATTTTTACAGTATGGGGTTGCTAGCCTCATGCCCAACCTTTCCTCTTTAACAGCTTTATTTCTGCCTTAGCGAGGTAAAGGAGTGCATCGGCCGGGGGTCGAACCCCGGACCATGTGCACGGTCGGCGAGCGTCCTAACCGCTATGCCACCGACGCACATGTTGACAGTGCTTGCCAAGAATCTTTAGGTCTTGAAATGATAGAAATCTGTAGCTCTGGTGGATGAGTAATAGCCTGTGTTGCAAATCATGTTTAGAACCCGAGGACATGTTCGAAGATACACAAAATAATCAAGAATTCAAACGAAGATAGGTAAATGTAAAGCCTGGAGAAATTGCAATTAGGACGACGACAGAGCACAAACACATCTTTGCCCCTGTGACCACTGGTTAAGTAATTGGAACATGATTACAAGGGACACCTGTAGGCTGAAGAATGTAAGTTACACCCCGTGAAACGAAAAATTGTCCCGCACAACGTTGGACGCGACTAAGGTCTATTTCTAACGGAAAAAATGGACACAAGCGCCCGATGCAGCGAGGGCATATGCATATAGAAAGTTAGATGCACTCACTCCTGAGCTCTTTCTAAAGTTGTACAAAAAATATGTAAGACCAAACCTTCGAATTGCACAATGTCATTGCTACCTTACTGCTTAGAAGAGACGCTAACCTTTAGGAAAGAGTTCAAAGACGGGAGACAAAAGGGGTGATGGGTCTCCGAAATAAACAATATGATGAACGGCTGGAGAAATTAGGTCTTTTCACACTAAGTTACTGTCAGCTTAGTGGTGAATTAATCACTGCCTATAAGATTATAAATGACCAGAATCACACAAACGTATTCTGCGATCAAGTACGTTTGGGTTTCCTTGCCAGAATCCACGAAGGATAACTCACTAAAGAGCAAAGGCTTGAGTGCGTCCGCAATGTTTCACTTCGAGTTTGCCGCCCCTGGAACTCTCTACCGGCTTCAAGTGGAGGCTGAACAATCATGCAGAGACACAATGACTGCGTACAAACGACCTATCCCCTTAAAACTCACATACTATTAATGGTTATACACATAAACTCGTCTTCTTTACATTCTCCCTTGTCTTGCTCTTCTGGTTACTTCAACTATTACGTCCCTTATATATATATATATATATATATATATATATATATATATATATATATATATATATAATTGACTTTTGGTGTTTCCAGAGCTTAAAATGTCCACAAATTTTCAGCCAAATTGGGTTCCGTATTTGTCATGTCGCTTGACACCTAATCTCTTTTGGGATTCTGAATCGAATATCTGAAAAGTAACGGCTAGAATACTAAGACTACCATTTGATGAAACACACGGCACACAAGCCAACACAATAACTTCATTCAATATTGTGCAGACCAAGGGACCCATCCAACGGAAAAAGATCAATACCATATACAAAATAAATGACATGAACTGTGATAAACACTATATTGGTCAAATTTGGCATCCCATTGGACTCAGAACTCAAAAACACAAACACACTAGCTTTCAAAAGACTTGATATGTGCAGATAAATGTTGACACCAATTTAACTGGGAGAATGTAGAAACTTTAAACAGAGGTAACAACAAAAATGCTAGGGAATTTCTAGAAGCCCGGCTGGTACTCAAACGAACCAGCGATTGATTATTACATTATCATAAACCAAATTTACCAACTGATGGAGAATAAATCACACGACGAGAAAATTCGACTTCCAAGTAAACAAAAATGAACAGTAAAGACGTAAATTAACATTTAATCGCGACAATGGCTGTTATCAGGAGATCCGATTGTATTACTCATGGAGAAAGAATTCAGACGAGTTCACTCTACCTTAAAGCTTGCGCTGAAGCGGTGATGTTTAGAGGAACAACGAAAGCTTCACAATTAAATCAACGAGTTTAGAGAACCCAACCAAATCAAAATCATCCACCTGAGCTACACCCAAGTAAAACATTTTGGGGCGACTTTAGGGTTTCGGAGGGGGGGGGGCAATTTGGGGGGAAATGCATCCTTTCCATCCCCTAAAGGTACCCAAAAACTCCCCAAAAGTTTTTATTCGGGTAAATCCTTTCTATTAAAGAAACTAGTCTTGTTAATTATAAAAAAATGAATAAAACCAACATTTATACTGTAAAATCTAATTAGGCGTGCTGACTGCAGAAGTTAAACATTGTCACTTGTGCTTACTACTCAACGAAAAAACGTATCACTCAACACAACACCAATTTAATAAGACATCAATTACCTTGGTTTGGTTATTACACGATCTATCTGCAGGTAAAGAAGTCCCACAATAGTTGACGACACTAAGCGGCTTTCGACCAAGAGTTGATTTCGGCAGGTGTTTGACACAATTTTCCTACATTTAAATTAACATTTAAAACATGAAGTTTACCTCAGTACACTCATGCTTTTTTATAGTAAACATTTCCGGGAAACGCCATTTCAATGAGTGCCATGATTTACACACAGAAAGCATTGACAGACGTTCGCAAAATTTCAGATACTGGAGTACTTTTCGAAGTACATACCCTGATCTCTCGTACGTCATCAAAGCGGACAATATATCTACGCGTCGTTTGCCCCGAAGACTTAAAAAATGAATGAAACATAAATTATCTTACGATTTTCTGGTCCCAAAACACCTTTCTTCATCAAAACTGTCAGGGAATACATCAATCTCCGGAGCAGAAACAGGACTGAAAGTAATTGAAGAGCTTGTGCCATAACCCGTGTCTTGCATTAAATCCGTCGAAAGTCCAGCTGAATAGCCCTCATTGCGTCGTGGCGTAGAAGTATATTCTATTTCCGAGAATTTGCACTTGCCCTTTTCGTTGTGTAACATATTCCCTAACGTCTACGATTTGAAACTATCACGTTTAAAGAGAGCGCCGTTTATTAACGGACGATTTTTCGAGGTAGACAAAGGTTACTTACACTCACTCTTTGTCTAGAAGAAAAATAAGAGGAAAATTACTAGAGCTGAAGACACTACTTTGAATATAATTACTATTGCCTGACAGATGTGAAGGGTATCATACTGAATATTAAAGCTCCTATCAATTTTCACTATCCAATACATTTGTGACGAACTTTTACAAGCCTCTTGATTTCTTGTTGTTTTGGAACAAATCTGAATCTCTAGCGAATTCCAGTGCAGAAAAAATATTCTCTTGATCTTTACAGCTACGCTTAACACAGTATGATGAGGTTTGTAAAAGAAATGTATGGTTAGTGTACATGAACTTGTAAATTCCGCCGATGTATCAGAGAAACCTTAGGATGTGTGACATTATGGAATAGAAGGGATAGAGAGAACGGCCAAATGCAACGAATAAGAGCTAGCGCAAGATGACTGAAGATACTGTAAGACTAGGATAAAAAAGAATAGTATTAATGAGAGCGATACAACGTGAAAAGTTAGAGAGACCAGTGAAGCAGAAAAACTCAGGAAGTGCGATGTTCATATTACCGGTTCAGCCCCCCAGGGCAAGGCTGATTCCCCCACAGATATGTAGAGTCCTTTTGTTACTGTATATTCATCTACCCTCCTTTTGAAGCTGTCAACTGATGGGTCAGTTACCGAATCATCCGGCAATGAACTCCATATATGACAACTTCTACTGATTTCTAATTACCAGTTCTATCGGGATTACTCCGAGATATACCACAGCAGTCTTGTAGCAATACACCTTTTTTGGCGGATTAGATTATACACTATTTCATTCGACGCTAGATCCTTCTTCTCCCTGAAACCTTGTTAACATTTCCTCAGTTATTAGGGCTGTCTATGATTATACCTTACCAATGTAGAGAAGTGTTGGAGAGCCTAGTTTGCATGGCACTTCATTTATGAAAGTCAGGGGTAAAAGTGAATGAAGATTAGCTCCATGCGGTAATTCAGTGTACGATATTCATTTTCTTGCAAAATCCTCTACTCTTAAGACAGGCGTCACTCCAGATTTGAGGGCTTCCAGAGAAACATTTCGTGCTGCATGGAGTTAGAAGCTTTGATAACACGTATCAGCACCGCATGAACTCGACTATTCTTATTCAGGATTCTGTCCGGTTGTTCTAGTCTACCAGAAATTTAACGGCGCAAAGCTTATCGTTCATGAAATCATGTACAACTTCTTACAGGATCTTGTTTTACTTCAGTGATTCCTTGGCGTGATCATCCATGAAGTGTTCCATCATCTCTGATACTGTTGGCAGTAGAGCGAAACATCTATAGTACTATTTGTCGATTCTCCCCATTAGAAATCGTAGATAGGACAGTCTACTTTAACTTCTCTGGTAGCTTTCGCCTGTCAAACTAGGGCTAGGACAGCTTACTAGGACTTGTCTTACAGCCTAAGAAGTAGTGATCTGATATCGTCACATCCAGGGGACTTCCAAGATACGGGTTAGTAAGGTTCTCTGGAAATAAGCTTAAAATTATTTGAAGAGTAGTCTCAACGATTTCAGATATCTGTTAAGGTTACCATGGTAAATGTGTATCGTTAGTTTCCGTACCATTCAGTTGTCTTTCCAATGCAACATCTAAGGCTTTAATGACCTCTCTGTTGCCAGGAAGTTCACAATCTAGTCTTCTAACCACTCGCACTCCCTGACTTGTGCTCTCTTCTGAACCATGAATAGGCACAGATTTTTGGGGAAGTTTTGAAGCTTCCTGGCTTGGTTCGCCTAAAATGCTGTCTTGACCACTCAGACTTTTGTGCTGTACTGATTTCTTGCAACAAATTGCCTGCTGCTGCCCTGCTTCCCTCGTTAATAGCCTTCGCTTGTACCAAGCTATTTTTTAGCCATGAGATGACACTATAAATATATTTTTAGTCAGTGTTTTCATTATTATGGGGAAGGAGTCCTTGAAGGCTTTCGTGACACCTTCCTTCACCTACTGCCAGTGCTCTTCATGCGTCATTGGGTAGCAATTCTTAGCCCTGAGTACTAGCAAAGCTCCTATCATATATCTAAGGTTGGCCGTGCTGTACTGGAAACGGACAGGAGTGACTATTCCTTGATAACTGGGATGAACACCGCTAATGTACAATCGCCACAGTCTATTATTTCTCCTATATGTACGTTTCCTCAGAGTATTTAGAAACCCGCTTTTTTAATAAAATAATCATACGAGTTACTGACCAATGGCTCGTAATATTGCAGAAGACCAATGGTATTCATGGGCACTTTTCTTCTAAAGCACGGCAGGAGACAGGTAAATCGGGGAATACCTAGTCAAACAAACGAAAGGGGATTCATCACTGGGTAGATGAAGAAACATCTACTAATCACAAAGAAGATTTAATGCCTAAATTATTACTTATCCTATCATTTTGAATTCCTCGCTTACTAACTGCATTTGAGCAGCGTTAACATACTGTGTTGTAGAGGCCCTGCAAGTGCATGGTCATTCATGAGAAGGTACTCACACCAAACTGTTTAACATCCGCTGCCCAAAGTTCTCTTAGTGGCTTCATGGGGAGCAGTAGTCATAGTGGCATTCAGCAAAATTGTCAGTGACTCTCCCATGTGTATACCTTCTTAATAGTGAGTGATGTATTGAGATTACTAAAAGTAAAGATTCAGTCAAATATCATGGTCAAAACCATTTGGATTACTTCAATGACTTGTTACGCACAGTCAGTCACAGTCAGTTCACCGCGAATACACAAGAGAGTCCACAAATAAACGTCAGAATAATACGCACTGATACGTTTGATCGTACGGTTCCTGCCTTCTGTCAGCAAGCAAGCATTGAAACCTCGACATGGATCATTGCCTACAGCAAAAATGAAGCCGGTGATCTCACTGGACGTCCATTCAGTGCTCACCAACTTTAGTAAATTACACATCCTTACAGCGCAAGGTTGGCCATGGAAGTTCTGCCAGTGTTGTATCAACAGTTATACACGATTGGATCTTGCCGCTAATATAGATTACTACTTGCGCCAGCCCTTCCAGATTCAGATGATAAGGATAGAATGCTCTTGTGGCCTGTGTTAATCCTTGCAAAATATATCTCTACAGAGATCTAACTTCCCTTTGAAAGCGTTCACCGATGGAGTTGATATTACTGAATCAGGTAAGGAGTTCCAGTCGTTGACCACTCTGTGAGAGAATCTAAATTCTGCGTGTATTTTAATCGTCCTCGGTCTGAGCACCTTTTGGCGGTGACTCCGTAAATGTATCCTAGAAGGGGAGAATAGTTTAGAAAGGTAAGTTCCTAAATCACCCTAAAGTATACGGTATGCTAAAATTAAGTCACCTCTCTTCCTTCGGTATGATAACGGAAAGAGATTTTAATGCTCCATCCTCTTATCGTAAGGAAGGTGTGAGATACCACTAACCAATTTCGATCCTACTCTCTACTCTTTCCGGGATATGTGCCCCCTTTTTGGAGCATGGACTCGCCGCTTGTATGCAGTATTCTAGATGAGGCCTGACATATGTTGCATAGAGTATTTGGAACATGCCCTGGTCTAATCGTTTGAAAGCCCTTCGAAGTGCCCATAGCATTCGAAAAGCCTTAGCTGCGGTTGTATTGCAATTTGCAGTTATTTTCAAATCATTGCTGACAGTGATTCCTAGGTCCTTCTCTTCGTTAACATCAGGCAGTTCTGTGTCCCCTAGGGAGTACGACGCATAAGACTTCTGACCTAAGTGCATTACCGTGCTTTACCTAGAATTCATTTCCAAACCCCACAGGTTCAACCACTCAGCTAATTATTCTAGGTCAGTTTGTAGGACCGACCTATCCTCGTTATTATTTGCAGTTTTCCAGATCTTAATGTCGTCCGCAGATGAAAATGAAGATGAAGAATCCCCGGTAGTTTATTAACTTATAATAGGAACAACAAGGGGCCTAATACAGTTCCCTGAGGCACTTCACTGAATACTGCTTTCCACCCTGACAGTTCACCATTAACCCTTACCTTCTGCCTTCTATCCATGAGGTAGTCGCTAATCCACTCACATAAGCGTTGGTCTAATCCAAAACGTTTAAGTTTACTAAGGAGACCTAAATGGGATACCTTATCGAATGCTTTACTAAGACTGATGAAGACAACATCCAGTAGATGATTCTTATTCCTGACTTCGATCCAATCTCCTCTAGCTAGCAGTAAGTTTTTCAGGCAGGACCGTCTTGGTTGGAATCCATGCTGTTTCACAACCAGCGAGCCATGTTTTTCAACATAAGCTAATAGCTGATCCCTTATAATAGTTTCCAATACCTTTGCTATAATGCATTTCAAACTTACCGGCCAGTAGTCAGATACCAATTGCCTGTCACCCTCTTTAAATATACGGCTTATAATGGCAGCCTTCCAGTCCCTGAGTAGCTTAGCCTGGGTCAGAGACATTTGGAAAATCTCCGTAAGTGGAGTATATATTACATCCGCCAAGAAAATTAACAGTTTAGGGTGAAGTCCATCAAGCCTAGGTGATTTACCTGGCTTCAGTTTAGACAGTAGTCCGAGGACCTTTGTGTGCTCTACCACAATTGACGGCATCTGAGTGGCGATGGCAGTGACCTCGCCATATCCATGGGTGATACGATCAGACGAGAAGACGTCACGGAAGTATTCAGAGAGGTTTTCAGCCTTTCCTTCGTCTGACTCAGCCGCTTCTCCACTAATGCTTATGAGTGATGGTATACCATTGCTAGTTTTAGTCCTACATTTAATGTACCAGTATAGCTTTTTCGGGTAATGAACACAATCTAGTACTAGCTGTCTCTCGTACCCAATACGACTCTTGTTAATCACATACTTAAAGAGATTTCGAATTTTGCGGTAGTCTTTCTGGAAATTTTCCCTTCATGTCACAATAAATTGGTCCCATAGGTTCTTTCTGCGTCTTAATAGCCTCCTTATTCCACTAGTAAT